TAACCTCTCCCTGAATGGAAGTGGAAAAGCACCGGGTTTGTAGAGGAAAAATCCATCTTCCAAGAGGGCCATGTTCCACTGAGTTCCACTTCCATCGCCTGGCCAGGAGGTTCTGACTTTGTCAGCTTCCCTGCTCTCCCCCGTATACGAGCTGGCGGCTATGACCGCGGGTGGCCCTTTTCTGCGGTGCGGGGGGGTCTATCTCACTGACCAGACGCAGCATCGCCCAACACAAGACATCAGTGGATCATACCAGGGGATCACCAAGGGGTGGCATTTAGTTCCTAAGTGAATGGATAATGGCTTACCCTCCAAGAGGCACCCATTTGTGACTCCTGGTATGCTGACATGGCCGACAGACCATTTTGTCCTAAAGAAACAGCTGCAGTGGGACCCAAGCGATCTAAGCGGTCCAATTCTGTGGCTGTTGTTTTTTAATGAAAAGGTCGATGCCAGGACCATCCAGTCTGGGTGGCCAATGGACTTGGACACCCAAACAGGATGCTCCAGGTACACCCTGCAAAACCTGAAAAACTCATGCTTGGTAGAGGAAAACCATCAGACCGTCAGGGCCAGACCGTCAGGGTCGAAGTGAGTTTTCGGCGCCGGAAGATCCACGGTCGATGATTCTGGGACTCTCCGGCATCGTCCACATCCACCACCTCCTCCTGCAATGCGGCCGCCGACGATGTGCGCTGTGCCGCGCGGCTACCGGAGACCGAGGGCAGCGAAGCGAAGAAAAGAGGTCGTCAGGTGAACCAGGACCCAGGGAGTGGGGTGGTTCATGCACACCCCTTCACGTCTAAGGGGCTTCTAAGGGTTATTTGGTGTATGATCCTATGACCAACAAGAGTGGATGATGATGATTCGGGTGCAAGGCCGATCTCTGACAGAGTTGTATGGGATGTGGTTCCTACCCAAGGGTTTGTCAAAACTCCGAAACGGGGGGTCCTGGAAGAGATTGGATTCTGGATTGAAGGCGGCACCCCCTGTTGAGCTCCCCTTTTGAACCCCCAAGGCGCCCAACCCCCAACCGGCTTGAACAAGGCATGCCGTCCTTGAAATACTCGTTCCTGAGATCTGGGAACAATTGAGAAAACATAACGTTTGAAAAAAAAACCGTTGAAACACATTGGGAAAAGGAACAAATAACGAAAAAGAACCATGCAAAAGCCATGGAGTAAGCCATGCAAAAGCCATGTCCCATGTTTTTTAGAACATTCTTCCCCAATCTGGCACTCCCCGAGCCTTCACGAGACGTCGCCGCACTGAGCCTTCGGTCTTCACGGGCACCTAAGGGCGCTCTTCTTCAGCGGTGATGCGCAACAAGAAGGGGTGCACCAAAGTGGAAAGCACTTACGTGGACGGGATCACTTCTTCGGTGCCTCAAAGCTATTTGCAAAGCTACTTGAAGCTATATACAGTCGCAGGTGATCCAAACAAGATAAACAAGTAGTCAACCTAACTGCACGGTGATCCAAACAGAAAAAATGCCTTTGGCAGATCTATAGGGGCCGCGTCTGCTTCCGGGGACCTTCGGCGAGTCCACTTCAGCGGTCCATCTATCTCTCGTGGGGGGCGTCTCGTCGTCTCGTCGTCTCGTCGCCTCGGCACCGTCCACGGCTCGAAGAACTCCCAACACACACAGCGCGGTCGACCAGAAAAGGACCTCCCTTTCAGAGGGGGGTCGTGCCAACCAGCGGAGATCGTCCATGTGCAAGGAGAAGAGAAGAAAAAACGAATGAAACACGAACCGGAACCCCCGGACCAATGTTGCCCCCCCTATATAGGAAAATGGGTGCAAGGGGGGGGTCTGTCCCTACCTTCGGGCCCAGCGGGGCTTTGTCCTCTGGTGCGACTCGGTCCTCTGTCCGTCCGGTGTTGTCCGGGGCCGCCGGGCCGTCGGAAGGGGCGGCACCGGTGACCTCGGGCGAGGTCAGAGACCATCCGAACCCACAGTGACCAGGTTCACGTGGGTTTTAATGGGATTTCCCCCATGTTCCATCGATAGTCCAGGATGACTTGTATTAACCCGGAACCCATGTGACCTCTGTCTTGATGGGAGATTGGAACGGTTCACCATCTTCTGGGGTGGCCTTTTGCTCCATAAATAAGAGCTCACTCAGGTCCTAGGTCCGACTAGGTCCCAGGTATGGAATGCAAGCCTATACAATGACCACGGGTCAACCACCCGGAAAGTCTCAAAAAACTGCCTGGAGCACTGGAGAGCCCTGGAAGTAGTACCACTATGTCTGCAGCCCAGTACAGGAAAGTCCTTCTTTCGGATCACCTGAAGGACATGTTCCAACTCGCCTCGGTCCCTGAAACACACTCCCAGTGTTTAGCTTAGGCCCGTCTTCGGATGACCCAGCGAAGAGTATTCTCACCAATGGATTTCCGATGTGCCAGCCAGGTCCAGGTCCAGGTACTCAGTCGGACGTCTTGATCCCCTACGGGTGGCCCTTAATCCAAGCGACCAAGATCCAAAACTCGCCTGGCCCAGTCTATCAACAGATCCAACTGCCACACTGGTCCTCAGACCATCACAAAAAGGATTTCCTTTGGGGGCATGTGTTGCTTCACCCCTTCCTCCCCCCCGGAGCCAGCTACGTATAGCTGAGGACTTCAAACGCTCCCCACTCCATAGGACTCAGCCTCCGGTTTGGTGTTGGGACCTGTCAGAGGACCTGTGCTGGGACTGACCGGCAGCAACCCCAACTGACCGGTTCTGCCAAGTCCATGGAGCGTCAGGGAGACCCACTCCCGAGGATTCCCTGAGGCTGTGGCGGTTCGACCTGCAGCAGGGGCGGCATGGCGTGTGTTTTTTTTGGCTTTTTGTTCGGGCGAAGGGCGGTCTGCGTTCTTTCCGTTGGAGTCATCCCAATAAATGTACATTTAAAGTGATAACGTAAGCATATAACATGTAAAAACACGCTTAAACAACCATAATAGCTCATAATATAGACATAGAGATAGAGAGAGAGAGGGAGAAAGAGAGGCTCAAAGGTGCTCAAGGGACTGCATGGTAGTCCTTTGCTCTTTGAGGCTCGCAAATGGAAAGGGTTTGCTTCGTGTCCGGACCCTCTGCGTTTCGCGTTTTGGGGGAGATTCCACGAACGTCTTAGGGATGTAGAGTGATGCAACAGCCACCTTCTTCATCCTTCTTCAGCTCGCCCTTTTTTCCAGCTCCGGGGTGAAATCGAAGAATTCCTGGTAGTCCTCCAGCCGCGGAGCCGCCTGAAGCGATCGGGCCGATCGGGCCAAAGATTGGTCAAGGGGTCTTCGAAGTGACCGAAGCACTGATCTCCTGATTGGTGGGTTCGGTCACGTGCACTGATCCCGGCATCAGTTCGGTCACTAGTAACTAGGGACTCCAAGTCACGAAGGAAAGAAGCTGGGGTGTAATTGGTGAAATTGTTAACATGTATCAGATACCATGAGTGAATCAGGTTCCTTCACTATCTTCATCAAGGAGATCTAGAACCTGGACCGGTCTGGTCTCCTGCGACCCCCAACCTGTTTGGAGCAAGCCCTAGCCATGCCTCCGCGCTATAAACGATGAAGCTCCGCTCGCCGATCCTGGCCGCTTCACGAGGTGGGCAGCGCGGAACCCCCCTCGGAACTGAATCCCTCAGGGTCAACCCTGCACGTGTCGGCTCCGATCCCCGGAAGGTTCGCGCGGAGTCTGGGTCGCCTTGACCCGACTCCATGAGATGGGCCAACATAGCCCCAAGATGGGCCAACATAGGCACAGCTCCGGGCTCAAGATGGGTCCAAGATTCCCCCCCTCAACGTCCTGACACGGTCTTCCCCTGCCTGTGGCCAGTCTGTGTGTCGGTCAAGGTGACCCACCAGCGCCCCGGAGAAGCTCGTCGTGAGAAGCGATCGACGAACATGCTGAAGCCTGGTGAGGTCCAAAAGGACATGACGGAATGGGGATGTGCGGAAAACGAAGGAACAAATCCCTGCACCATCCTGTTTAGGTGTCCTGGCTGGACATCTCTAAGCAGTGTAGGGTAGTCCCATTGGATACCCATTGGATGGACCTGGTCCATGCGAATGTCAGGAAGGGGAAGGAAGTGTTTGTACACCATGTGAGGGTTGTTGCCACACCCTGAGGCACTGCCAACTGCCACACGAGATGCAAAACACGAAAAGTAAACCATCTTACTAATTACTCTCAACCAGGACCCTCCTGTCGGGGTGCCTTGTCTGGAAGCCTAGTGCGGGATACGTGTGGGGTAGTGAAGCGCCAGGACACCCCAACAGGGTCGGAGGGTCCTGGAAGTACTCTCTGATTCAATTAGACATTGGATAGGAGGAGTAGAGTAGGAGGAGGAGGAGGAGGCGGAGGTTGGTGACTGCTCACCCCCCCAATCCTCGCCTCTCAGGCACCCCGGCCTGGCCTTCCCACCCACACCCAGCCTTTGGGGATCCGCCCCCCCGGACTGGCGCAGGAGGTGGTGCTCCCGAAACCAATGGATGGCCAGCTCACCCTCGAAGCCCACGCTGCTCAGGTAGCACACCAAGGAGATCTGGATGGGATTGGAAGTCTGGAAACCTGGAAGAGGTGGGGAAACATGACAAGATACGTGCAACCTTCAGTTGCGGACCCCTATGGTCGGTGGCTCTCCCAACAGTTCGAACGAGTCCATGATGATTTGATCAAACATATCCTCCAAAAAGGCCGAATCAAGTCCCAAGACGACCTCCCAGCCCGCCCGAGCCAAATCACCAGCCCGCACCAACGAAGCGATATCTACGCAGGGCCTCTGGAGGGTCAGAAGTCAGGTAGACTAGCCGGGCCCGACTCCCTTCGTTGACTCATGAAATGGTCCCTCCATATGTATGCCTCGCGCCCCCACTTTCTGGCTGAGACCAACACGAAAAAGCCTCAGGGCCCAAGATGCGCTGTGAGCATCTACAGGATCAAGGATTGATGAAACTCCCGCAACATCACAGTCTCTGCCTCTGCTTCTGACTGTGCCTTGCCCTTCCTTTCAGGGCCTGTTGTGGTCCAGTAGGGTGTTGCCATTGACCAAAACCCAACCAAACCTGCGAAAGAAAGGTAGGTCAGCCAATCGCCACCAATCACGGTCGTCTAGAGCCCAGTGCTGCTCGCTGATTCTTCTTTGATACTCATCTAGGTGTTTACAAGTCTTTGTCCACCCATCCTGAGGTCTCGACAATGAGTGCATGCTCATCTGTGAGAAATCAACAAGAATCAAACACTTGAACAAAAACTAAAGACTTGTGTTGAAAAAACAATCATCACTTCCAAAATCTGTTTGAATGTGATGTGAAAGCCGGGCCATCCTTCCCTTCCTTCAGCCCAGCCATCCTTCCGTGCCTCACATGAGTCAGGCACGATGGACACTTCGCCCTCATAATCCCAGAGCTCCTCAGCCCAGCTGCAGCCCAAGCGGATGGCCACCACTGGCGGCAGGGCCGCCGTGGGCCTCCGAAGGCCACCGGGACATCGCATCGGACTTCCAAGGAAGGAGAAAAATTGTCAAAAAGAAGGCTCCAAGGGTCCTGTGAGGATGAGACCCCTGCAGGCCCCGCTGTTCTTAGAGCTCTGGTGCCAATGGTGGTGCCCTTTTAGGATGGCCCACTAGTAGTGATCCAACTGGCTTCATGTCTCTCTCCTCGCAGCACGTCTACAGGAACCGCTCAGCCAAGGTTTTCGGACAGCTCAACAACTTGAACCAGTGAGAGGGAATACTTCCAAATTGCCCTTTTCATACCTTTTTCAAGCTTGCTCTATGAATATGTCTCTTCTTCTTGATTGGTGCCCCAACCGTCGCTAATCTACCAAGAACATCCAACATCAAACACTCTAAGTCCGCCCACCGCTGGCAAAGACATCAATTATTTTTCACATATACGTATTGTCCCTAGCAACCACCCTTTTGGTGCTGGACCTGGGGAGAAAAAAACATCACACCTTTCTAAGACCATCAACCTCCTCCGCCGTTGCCCGGCCTCGTCTTCCCCGTGGCCACCGCCAGTCGCTCCGTCACGTCCAACGTCCCCGCCACGGCGCCGCGGGCCACGCGCAGCCGCAGCCGGCGCGGGCGCGGCAGGCGCATGGGCGAGCGCGGAGGCGGAGGCAAGGCCGGCTGGTGCCAGGCAGTGGCCTGGCAATGGGGTCGGGGGCAGTGGCAATGGCTAAGGCATGCTACTGGTAATACTTCGTGTGGAGCTGAACAAGTTGGAGCTGGAGGCCTAATTATGTGGAGTGACGTGGAGTGAGGTGGATTTTAAGACCTAAGGTGGTGATGGAGTGGAGGTGCGTGTTGGCATGGGGGCTTCACAAACCGTTGCAAAGTAAGCCTTAAAGCCTTCGTTTGGAACATCCAAGCCTCCACGTCAGGCATATTGTAGCCAGCCATCGAAATCATGCCACATCCCCAACCATCCATGGGACTGGAATAATTCGTTACATGGCAGTCATGACAGGTACCACATTTAAGACCCATCCGCCCTTCCCAGTGACCTTTTCTGAATTTTCAAGACCTACAGTAATTGACCTCAGCCACTGGGATCTCAAGTAAAGTCACCGGGATCTCAAGCACAGTCACCGGGAAGGTCCTGCTAGGTCACTATTCCATAATATTCCACACCCTACAAGTCCAGTTCGACTATATATATATATATCTTGACCGACTGAAGTAAGTGTTCAGGACGACGAACTCGTCCCATTCTTTTGAGAGCCTCTACTCGCAGCGGGGTATGGTCTGAAAACCAACCAAAAAATAAACCTGACCCTACAAGTCAAAGACCTCATCTTACTGGCGATGGTCATACAAAACCCACACTTCAGGAGGTAAAGGACCAGGTTTGGACCTGGGTCAGACTGGACGTACGTAGGTGACCTGCTGGGAGATGGAGCATCGTCCGCTCCACGGAACAGAACCCAAAGTCGCGCTTCCTTCAGAGGCCCCAGGTCTTGCCGCAGCGCAGCCAGCAAGCCACGGTGAAGCGTCTGGGTGGGCACCCACCTGCTACATGTGGAACCCCTTCTGGCACCCCCCACTTTTAAGCGCAACAATTTGGGATGTTTGCTGCTTTCTTGACAAAATACATCCAAATACTCTTGCACAAAAGCTTCACAGGAAGGACTTTGGACACGCTCTTGTACCACAAGGCATCAATGCGTACAATAAATATATATATATATCCAAGAGAGGTTGAGAGACCACATAGGACCCTGTAGTGATAAATATGGAATGGGCGATATATAGGGCTCTTCAACCTCTCAATGCTTAGAGCCGTTCAACGGTCCGCCAGCCGCCTCGACCGCTCCCGGCGCGCCACGAAGGCCTCCAACGCGCTGCGCAAGGCACGCCCCGGCGGCGTAGAGGTCAACTGCGCCGGGCGAGGGGAAGGGTTCTCGGAGAACATCCAATGATGGGAACGTTCCATGTTCAATCCAGCTATGTTGGAAGGCATAGGGTTTTCCATGTTCAGCTTTTTGGCTATGTTGACTTTGTTTCATCTTGTCTTCCATGTTGAGTTTTTTGCTATCTGCACTCATCACTTGCACTAGTTGTCCACCAGGGCGGGTTTTGCTATCCAAGAGGCCATCCATGCATGGAATAGTTCAACACATCTACCCCTTTTATGACCCCAATGTACCAGGACCCTCCAAGGGGTGCCCAATGGAAGCCTATAGGTAGTGTGGGGTAGTTCATTGGACACCCCTTGGAGGGCCCTGGTATGTAACATATGATGTAAATGCAACTATTCCGAAGCCAATTCGTCTGGTCTGGCAAACAGAGAAAGACCGCCCGGAGTTCCATGGAGGAGAGGGCGCCGGGGCCGAATGGAGGAAACCGGTTTTGGGACGCAAGGCCTACTACTAACCCGCATGAAGTGCAGGGTACCCAGTTGCTCCAGCCCTGTGAGCCCTGCCAGGGCTCCAGGCACAATCACATGAGAATCATCAATGCCGGAAAGCTTTCAAACACCACCTATACCTACCAGCGACATCCAGTCTGGGTGTCCTGGCTGGACTAGGCCATACACTGCTTCGAGGTGTCCATTGGACACCCACACAGGATGGCCCAGGAAGTGTTGGTCCAACCCAACTCATCTGGCGCCACCACCGGTGCCTTTGCGACCCGTTCCCGCCGCTGGCCTTGCGCACGAACCACGGCTCCTCGGTCGCAATCTCCCGCAAGTGGCTGCCATTCAACGGCCTGCCACATGCAGCGCGGGATCCGTGCCCCGTGGAAGCGCCCCGGGGGTTGCGGTCCAAGCTGCGTGGCAAAAGGACGGGAAGCGGTCGGGGGAAGCCCCGGCGCGGCCTGGGGCTTTGGAAGGGAAAGTCGCTGTGCTGCGATTGTCGCCAGGGCGCGTTGTAGAGGTCCAAGTACCTGGTGCTGGGTGGTGTGTGTCGAAGGTTAGATCGCGGGGAACGTGTCGAAGGTGCCACATGTGTGTCACATTTGTTGATCTGCCGGTGCTTGCCGAAGTGAGAAATGGGCCAAGGTAAGAAACGATGATTTGGGCGTCCATTCAGTCGAGAGTGGTCACTATCCCACTTTTCTTTCCAAAACTGTTTTGCACTGCACGCATGTTTCTAAGGTGTTCGGGGGGCGTCACTGACCCTTGGTAGCATCTCGAAACCGAAGCAGCTGGCTGCAATGTGAAAAAAAAATGTCAAACGACTGACAATATCAATGAAACACCCCTTCACATCTGCATTTGCTCCCACACATGGCTCCTATCGTTGGTCCATTCTGCTCATTGCTCGCCGTACGCTGCAGCAGTCCAGCCGTTGGGAACGAGCGAGGGTCGGCTAGGCGCACAAGAACTCATGTCGTAGGAGCCGGTGGCAGAAGGGTGAAGTGAGCAGCAGGGTTTGAAAGAAGGTCTCCTGAAACCGACAGGGGGTAAAAACCACACAGTAAGCGTGACCGAAACCGCGGTTTTGTGGTCACTATACGGTTCAATGCAGTCTTTGCTCGTGAAACATGGGGGCGAGTTGGAAAAGGACGACGAAAAAAAAACATGATGTTTCCGCAATGGGATGTAATCAGGCACAGTTGGACCTTGATCGTCTGCAGCGTCCCATTCCCAGCATCGATGGGCGATCTTGAGCAAAGTGCGCGCCAAATGGGTATGCATTTCAATGGGGGGACTCCCTGGCTCAATGCTTGGGTTTTCTTAGGAGAGCGCCCTAGACACGACAAGAGTTTGAAGTTGTGGAAACACAATGAAAACCAGAACTACCTAAGTATTTTTGAAGAGTGCCTGTGTATAACAATATTTTAGTATTTCAATTTGTAATAATAGAACTTGCTGAAAAGCAAGCACCGTGCTGAAAAGCATACATAGTTTCACATGTTGCTGAAAAGCAGCTTTTCAAACAGTGCCACTGCCTTTCCAGCAATACAGCTAAAAACAAAAAATCTGCAAACACAGGGGAACATCATTTGATTTTTTTGGAACCTTGCTCATCGACATATTTTTGAAAATACTTTTTTAAACATCTGAAGCAGTGTTTGCTTTCCTCCTGGAAGCAGAGAAAGAGCAACTCTTACTCTTTACCAAGGAACTATCAGGCAGTGCTCCAGCTGATCCTCAGGTTAGGCTGAGTCAGGAACCGTTGCATGGACTTCAAGATCAATGCCGAAGAACCTTCAGGTACCACTCAGGAATCGTTTCAGGAACCGTTCATGGACTTCAACATCAACCTGGTCATTTGCTGAAAAGCATTTTTG